ACTTTAACACAAATATCTCTCTCTGTACGTCCAACCTTCTCATCCCTGCTTGGCACAAAGCTCATCTTTGTGCTCCCGGTTGGGAGCTTCCCACTCTCCCTCGCCTCACCACACTCACATCAGTGTTTCCCGCTGCGTCAGGGATGCTCCCTCATGGTGAAACTATTTCTGGGTGGTGGAATCCTGGATAATATCTTTACTTTCTTCCTTCCATTTCCCTTCACTTACAATAAAGGCGTTTTTTAAAAAAAAGGGTTTCGAAGGTAAACAAAGCACTTCAAGGTCATGATTTTGCAGGAAAAAAGAAATGCCATGAACAACTCCAGCAAAATCACACTTTAAAAAAACAGCAGAAACAAGAAAATATCTAGTCTAGCCGCACAATACAGTTTAATTTCACTTCAGTTATTTATAGAATGAAACATGAAAAAAAACTGGGTTGGCATTTTATTTTTAAAAAACTGCATGCCACACCAGTGGGCAGTATTTCAGTATCCCTGTTTCCTGCATAATTAACTGTATTTACGACCCTCTTCAGCAAAGATTTACAGCTAAACAGCAGGAGAGAACCAAATAACAGAAAATGACTGTCAAGCTAACACAAGCAAATTGTTAGTTTTACACGTCTCTATTTAAGGTTCTTTTAAAAAAATTCTTTCCAAATAAAAACAGACGATTTTCTTCCGAGGATGCCTCTAACCAGGAAAATCTCTCACTGGAAAGAAGTCAATCCCAAGTAATGGCCTGAGGGGATTCTTAGTCCTGGGCTAAAAGAAAGAATGGGAAAAGCTTGGTGACTCCGGCTCTGATGGGCCTCGTGGGCCCCAGGCTCCTGTGGGAAGGGCTGACAGACAGTGCTCAGACCGTGCGTTAACAACACAGGCCTGCAAGAGCCCCTTGGGGTGCTGGGGTAGTCTCACAGAATCATCCCACCCATCCCTGTGCTTTTTCTGGGAAGGGGACAGTCACCAACACAGTCCAAGAGGCACAGCCCGGCAGGTGATGCAGCGGGTCCCCACGGAGCCCCACTCCTACAGGTCAGCTGACCTGCTGGAGGCGCTTCTCTCCTTCTACACCTGCTCCACTCCTGGCCCCGCCCCTGTGCACGGACTGGGTCCCCTCCGTCCTCTCCCGAGGGCACACAGGGCATGTCAGTCTCCCACCAGCACTAGAAATCTGGCTTGCGAGGACACTCCCGTAGCCCCTTCCTCCCGTGCGGGTCCCAGGTGGACAGAGGCCGCCAGCCCACCAGCACTCGCTCCCGCCGCGGCGCAGGTCCCACCAGCATGGCTTCTCTGTAACTTCTCCCATCACAAAGGACTTCAAGCTCACTAATGTCAAATAACACTTTCAACGGCACAGAAACCCTGACTGCACCCCAAGGCTTACACCTCTCGTGCTCGAGCATGCCGCCCAGGGCCCACGACCGTCTTGCATCCTGCACACGTGCGCTGCAGTCTGGCGCGACGGCGACCCTGGCTCGCACTCCCCGCGGGCTGGGCTCTAGAGCCAGCAGGAACGATGCCATTCGGGGGAACTGCGAGGGGAAACCTTGGAAAAAACTGTGTGGCCATGTTACCTCCCTGAATTACTCACACGGCAGTCTGCGTTTCTGCTGCACATTTTTCTCTCCCATTTGACTATAAAAGCTGCTGGTGTGTTAGACCCTTCTGCTTCCTCAATCAGTGTTTTTCTCTTAGCAGAATCTAGTCATCTGTTGGCTTAAAGAACAGAATCCTTCACTGGTTAAAGTCTCCTGACTTTGCAGGGAGCTGTCCACGCAGCACCTCCGCCCGGAAGCCACCAGGCTGCTGGGTAAAAGGCGGGGCTCTTCCCCGGGGACCCCCTTCCTTCCAGGCTGCCTGCATCTCCTTCCCCACCCACTTCCGAGCGTGGGTCTCAGGGCTCTGGCTCACGAACACTTGGAAGGCGCCCCTGGTTTGCGTGTGGGGCGAGCCGGTAACGGGACATGCTGCACCCTAGGGTCGGGAGGCTCCTCTCCAGCAGCCTGGGCCTGTTTTCCCAACAGAGCTCTCCTGTGAAATGATTTCTTCCACAGAAGCTACCGTGATGACATATTTAATTAAAATTTATGCAAATGGATGGAAGGACAACTGCTTAGAAGACTGTGCAGGGGGCGCCTGGGTGGCTCAGTGGGTTAAAGCCTCTGCCTTCAGCTCAGGTCATGATTCCAGGATCCTGGGATCAAGCCCCGCATCGGGCTCTCTGCTTAGCGGGGAGCCTGCTTCCCTTCCTCTCTCTCTGCTTGCCTCTCTGCCTACTTGTGATCTCTGTCTGTCAAATAAATAAATAAAATCTTCAAAAAAAAAGAAAACTGTAAAAAAAAAAAAAAAAAAAAGACTGTGCAGAACCAGGGAAGAGGACGGGGCATGAGAGCTGTCACATCACAGATGCCACCCAAACTCTGCTCTGAGTGCCGGCACCCCTCACCACACGGCATCCAGCGCGGAGGGGGGCCGTCCCAGGCGACTGGCCAACAGCCCAGCTTGTGTCCTCGTCACGAGATGGTTCAGGTCTGCAGGCACCACTTCTAGACCGGTTCTTAGCACAGAGCTGGTTTGAACCACCACCTCGTCAGGCCCCAAGAGGTCTTCCCTGTAACATTTCATGGACTACCAGACGGGACTCATTTCCCTTCACCGCGCCTCCTTCTCAAACCTTTCATATTCTTGTTTTTTTTTTTTTTAATAACCATAGAATCTACAGACGAAAACAAACATCTTTGAAAACCTGAATACAGGTGCTCACACGTACTTGTGCCAGGGCTCTTCCTGGAAACTGGATCAGTGTGTCCAGCCGTCCAGGCCTCTTACCTCACCCCACGAGCACTGGACCCTGGACCATGGCCGCTGCGGCCACCCTGGGGCTGATGCTATCGTAGTCCCCACTAGGCACGGCCCCTCTCCCTCTGCACAGCCCAGCTTCAGAGGGCCCGTGCTCAGGCGTGCAGTTCTATACTGTCTGCTGTCCAGTTTCTGGCCTCCCCACGTCGATGGGACGGCTCTCGCTTTGGTAACGAGGTGTCTGCCTGAAGTGCGGACACCTCACAGTCTGCCTCCCTAGCCTCTAGAGCAGCTCTGGGACAGCCTGTTGCCCTCGCGCCTGCGGCCCATAAAGGGGATGTCTACAAGCAGCACCCACTGGGCCACGTGTTTTCTTGGCCTGCCTTGCATTTTTACAAAATATGATGTGACTGCCGACACCTGCAAATCGAGAAAGTTCACCTGAACATTTTAGATTTCTTGCCTCTCTGCAAACTCTGGCACCCGGTCCCTGACTCTGGCACAGCCGCGTGTGAGCTACCACGGGTCCTGTCAGCGCTGTTCTTTCAGCTCTTGGGTTAGACAGTTGAGCTGTGAGGCTGAGCACCAGGCGCGAGTCCCAGACACCCTACCTGCACCCGCCTGTCAGGCTGTGCTGCGTGGAGGCAGGCGCTAACTGGCGCCCCCTGCTGGAGCACTTCCTGGGGGGGGGCTGGGGTCCCGGCAGGGAGTCGCACCTGGTGCACCTGCCTTTTGTCTGAGGAGGGACTGGCTGGCATCAGTGGGGCTCTGCAAGCCCATAGGGAGCCTAAGTCACAGAGCAGCCACCGGGCCAGCTGTGTGGCGGGGTCTCCCAACCCAGTGCCATGGGGGCAGCGCACATGCTGCCCACCACCACCCTCGCTACTGAACCCATGTGCTCCATGACACAGAGTGACGAGATGGGGATAGTCACCCTGCCCCTGAATTTCCTCTCTTCTGTGCCAGACAGTTCAACAGCTCCACAGACCTAGTGGATGCACACGGACAAGGTGTTTAACTTGCAGAAGTTCAATCACAGGTGTGAAACTGGAGAACGAGGAAGCCGAGGGATGTTCCACTCAGCCAACTTCCACGGTCACTCCTGGCTCCCACTCACCTGTGGGACCCTGTCGTCCACACAGCACTCCCCGCCGTGAGCACTGCAAACCCCCAGTCCTTCACAAGGCTTTCAGGATACGCACATTAAGTTCCCTCAAGTCACTGACGTGTAAAGCCTGCAGATGTCACTTCAGCCCATCAGTCACACACGGCCACGGGCCGCGCCAGCACAGGGGCGCAGGGGGCTCTGGCTACTATTTTGGACAGACACTCAAATAATGAGCAGCCTATGTCTTAAAAGAGAATTACTCTCTGGATGACCTCTTGCTCTCTGTGACGAGCTTTATGGATAGATCACCCAATCGGATCTGTCGGTGCAAGACCACGAACCCCCACAGCCATCCTGAAGCCTCTGCCCTCGTTCATCGTTAACTTCTGAGTAACTTTAAAAAGATCGGATAAAGAGACCGAGCTCCAATACTTTCAAAGGATTACTTGAACAAAACCTCAAGATTTGCCTTCTATTAATAATCTTCTGGTAATTAAGAAGATAAAAGGCCAGCAAGCAGGCTGGACAGAAGGGAACATACAAGCCAGAATGCTGAGGCACACATCGCACGCTAGCTCGAGCTGTCTTTTGCAGGAAAGCAACATGCGGACAGCGCCGCAGCCCGCCAGTGTCCACGCTCCCTGGGCTTCGTAACAGAGCTTCAACTTCAGTTAGGGCCGTGGCATGTTGGACTCCAGCCCCCACTGCAGGCCAGGAGACCACACGACACTGTCCTGTCTGCGAGGGTCAAAGGGAGGCACCAGGCATGGCTTCTTGGGTGGGAGGGGCGGGGCACCCTTCAAAGAAGGGCAAAGTCCCCAAACACCTGCTTTCTGTCCTCGCCCTTCTTCTTTACCCTTCCTGGAAGGCACGGCTGACACTGGACACAGAGCAGCCATCTGTCACCATTAGGGGACGCACGACAGGATGAGGCCACATACCGAGGACAGCTACCCACGAAAACCCAAGGGACCGAGTCCTCCCAGCACCTCCACCGGCCCCGTGCTGCATGCACGGCTGTCGTGCGGCCCGGCTGGGTTGGCTGTGCAGCAGGCCACGGGCCGGGAGGCGCACAGCGAGGTACTCACAGTCAGCGGCGTACTCCGCCTGGGAGGGCTGTGCACTGCCGTCCGCCGAGGGGGGGGTGGGAGCGGGGCTGTCGGCCTGGGCTTTACGGACCAGCGCGGCAAGGGGGTGATCCGGGTCCACCACCTTCAAAGGCTGCAGACAGAGAGGATGTGTGGTCACATCATTCCCATACCCGGAGTCAATGGGAACCCTTTTGTGGCCAAGAAGGCTCAACTCAACCACAGAACACAGTGTTTTGGAGCATGGTGGACGCGCTTCAGGACACGGAGAGAGCCCGAATGACCGTGGCCATGCTCTACGTGGCTGCTCGTGAGTCCCAGGGGAAGCGAGGGAACACATGGCTTCCACCTTCTAGTAACCACTCGGGAAAGGAAGGCCGGATGGCCAGGATTGTATTGCCACCCATAAAAGTGCGAGCCACCAAGCAAACAACAAAAATGCAAAACAGACTTTGATGATGATAAAGTAAGATACAAAAAAAATGGCCGCTTCGTGATTTCCCAAAACTAGACTAACACCAGTTCTGTTACGGCATAAAAAACACAGAAGATCGAAACCTTCATCAGCTCCTCCAGGCGGTTACACTTCTTGGAAGCGAAGAGAGACGGGTGCAGGTAACTCCCATCTCCTTCATCATCGTCATCATCAGAGCTGACCCCCGACTCTGGAAAGCAAAAGCGTGTTTCAAGATTCTGGTGTGTGGGGAGAGACAGGGCACAGATACGCGACGGGAACACTCAGAAGCAGACAGAGGCAGGGCTGCAGGCAACCGTGCGGCCGTTCTCCACCCAGAAAGCACCCCTGGGGAGCAGCCCCCGCAGCACTACGCCCGATGCACTTATGGAAAGCGCGGGACACCGTGGGCATGCATCATGGGCCCACCCAGCATAGCCGTCCAGCGTCCCCTAGTCTGGGGCCTTTGTGTTTTAACTTTTTAGAAAAATGGCAAAACGTGCTGATGGATGAAAGGTAGAACAAGGCAACAGACACTTTAGAAAACTAACAGATGTGAGAAAATGAGATCTGTAACCAAGGTCTGTACAAATGAATCTGAAAATCCTGTTTCCATGGCAGACACGTACAGATAGACTGCTGTCCCTGAATGTTATGCAAAAGTTACTTGGCCTTTGTGGTAAGAATTCCCAATTTAGATATTTGATAAAAACAACAGTTTAAGGTAGACACGAATAAAAAAGGGAGAGTAGAACTAACTCCCATTTTTGTGCACACGTAACTTAACCTCAGGCCCTAAAGCCGCGTGTGCGTGGATGGCGGGAACCATCCCAGGAGGCAGATTTACTCTTTTCTCCAGGAAACGTGAAACAGCCAAAATGAGAGGAAAAATTTCCAACCCAGATGACTGTGTTCTGTTAGCACCAATATTTAATTATACTTCACTGTCTCTGGAAGTAATTAAGATTCTAGTGTGTTGTCAAGATTTCCTCAAGGAGAGCTTCACCCCACCCTAAACCCCAGCAGCGGGTCTGATGAACGCCACAGTGGTGGGCCGCACGAACATTCTGGAAGCCCTGCAGCGCGGGCTTATCCCCAGCACAGGCCCCACGTCCACACAGGACACGCAGTCTCACATACTCTTTTTCTCTTCGCTTCTGTTTTCTGCCAGCACCGTATAGCGTCCTTCTTTCATGGCTTTCTGAATGAATTTGTAGTAGGGGTTGAGGTAGTGATCAAAGCGTAGAAAGTCGAATTGAGAGTTTCGGGCCTGCTTGGCTTTCAGCATTATTTCAAACTGTGCTCCCTGTTTACACACGAAATTTGCTGTGCGCTCGATGATAGCGTGCATCTTGGCTGTTGGTGGCTATGGAAAAACATACATATTCACATGATCAATCTTTCCTCTTTTTCACTGGCCACATGACTTAAAACAGAAGAAAAACCTCGTTTTACTGTCAAATACATGAAGTAAGAGACATTTCAAGGGGCGCCCGGATGGCTCAGCTAAGCGGCCGACTCTTGACCTCGGCTCAGGTTACGATCTCAGGGTCCTGGGATTGAGCCCCATGTAAGGCTCTGCACTCAGCGGGGAGTTTGCTCGTCCCTCCCCCTCTTCCTCCCCCAACTTGCATTTTCTCTCTCAGATAAATAAAGTCTTTAAATTAAAAAAAAAAGAGAGAGACCCATTTCGGTCAGAAGAGCCCCATTTGAACAGCCCCTGGTTGGTTCCACGACACTGGTCTGTTTCTGGATTCTGCAGTATCTCACGGGGAGAAAACTCACAGACCAAGGCAGGCCACTCCAGCTTTGAGCAGAACTGACTTGAGGCAACCTTTTTTTTTTTTCTTAAGATTTTATTTACTTATTTGACAGACAGAGATCCCAAGTAGGCAGAGAGGCAGGCAGAGAGAGGTGGGGGAAAGCAGGCTCCCTGCCAAGCAGAGAACCCGATGCGGGACTTGATCCCAGGACCCTGAGATCATGACCTGAGCTGAAGGCAGAGGTTTAACCCACTGAGCCACCTAGGCACCCCTCGAGGCAACCTTTTTTATATCAACTCACTGTACCTCCATATTCAACAGGTTCTGCGATGGGGTTGGAGGCTGTGAACCCTCAGAAGCTGTATGCAAATTATGTGCATGTGCATGTTTCTAGGGAGGGTGTACACATTCCCCCAGTTTCTCAAGGGTCTACACGGCACTCCTCTTGCCTTCTGAGCTGGGACTAGATTTCCTAGCTTGGGAAGCAGCCTTTTTGGGCATCTGAGGAAAGCCCCATGCGCTCACCTGCTCCTGCACCTAACTCACCCCCACACCACGTGGGCACTGTCTGGCCACAACAGGGAGGGTCTGTCTCACCCGCGGGAACAGAGGGCACCCTGTGTTCAAGTGAGGTCTGCCTCCAAGTGAGGTCACTACCAGGAATCAGACCCTGCCAACCAGTTTCCTGACCAGGCTGCGAAGTTCCTTCCACCACATGACACGCTTGGCATTTCCCACCCACCAACGGAGCTCATCAGACCAGACGCTGAAAGCCATACTCCAAAAATACTTTTAATAATAAGGAAGAGATTAACACTTAGAAATTACATGCAAATAAAGTGGGAAATTATTCATTAAAAATGGGCAGTTAAGTATTCAAGATGCTTTCCATAATTCCAGAACCACATCCTTCATAAAATTTAAATGTCTTAATTCTCAAATTTAATGCCTGAAGTGATACAGTCCTTCACACTTAAATAGGATAAGTATCTACAATTAAAGTTATTTACTGTTCCCAAAATAAACTAGATTCCACGTCACAGGCCCACTGTGCCTGGAGTACGGATCCTGAGGCAGACTTTCAACGGCTTGTGCTAACAGCAGGATTAATCTTCGGATCTGTGTTCCACGCACACGTCGATCATTAACAGTGAATTCAGAACAGTGACCTTGAAAGGAAACCACAATGGCCTCTGTGGAGAGGCGCTCTCCGCCAACCACACTAAGCTGCTGGTTTAAAATCCCTAAAAGGAGGCCTATTCATGACACAACAGCGTGGTGAAAAGACGCGGCCACAGCGCTGGTGACTACAGAGAGAGGCGTGCTGAGCGCACTTCTGGGCCTGCTCCCAGAGCAAGTGGGTAACATGCCCGCACCTGGTGGGGAAAAGTCTTTGCTCTCCTCAGCACACTATCCTTATGCAGGTCTTTTCCTATTTATACCACGAGTATCCCTACCACAGAGTGGGATTTCAAGGCCATACACGCGTATATGATATGTTACAAAAACTAATGATAAAGGGGGAAATGCTTGTCTTATATAGGGAGGCCTTTGGTGTAAGAAGGTGCCTGAGCCCAAGAAGATAGGCTCATGCCTCCTCACTCCTCCCAGATTACAAACAGAGCTCTAAAAACTGTGGGGTAGGCGGTGGGAAATGGAAGAAGGTGAGAAAGCCCACGCCAGTGTCTGGTCTCCTAATAGCTCTGGAAAAGCAGAGGGACCAGGATGGGGTGGCACGGGAACGGAAGGCAGGGTGAACAGTGACGGGCCCCTGGAGCGGCTGGGCTGGCCCTCTCCTCTGCTGTGATCAGCGAAGGAAGAATCAAATGCCTACTTCATTCACAGCCCAAAATAAGTATTACATCAAGTCACAATTCAATTGTTAAAAACAAACAAACAAACACAGAACTATAAATGCAATAGCAGGAAACAGGAAAATATTTTTAAAATCTTAGAGGAGTGGGAAGGGACTTTCAGAACAAAATTCAGAATCCTGGGGCTACAATGGGACCTAGTGACGTGTGTGACTCCATAAACACATCTACATTCTGCGAGGAGATAGATGTTGGAAGACAAGGTGCTCGGAGAACACGCACGCACGGGGCACACGGGGCACACGGGGCACGCTCATCATACGTGAACAGTCCTTACGGATCCCAAAGAAAAGGCAAGAACTCCACAGGATGCTTCCCGCCCCTGTCCTGGGGTGACAGAACGGCTGAATCATGATGACAACAACACTCTAATCTCAACACCCACCAGCCAGAGCTCTGAGCCATCTAGACCTCAACGTGTCTCCAGCGTGCGGCGGCCAAGCGCATCTACTCCCCAGGCACCCGTGCTGCGAGGACTGAGGACAGGAGCAAAGCACAGAGCACGTGGTTGGCTACTGTCACCGCACGGCCTTAACCCCAGAGGGGGAAATGTTGAGCATGATGGCAGTTACACATTGAGTCCTGGCCTGTTCTTCCTCTGGTTCATAGAGTGTGTTCAGATGAGCGTGTTTCCCCCAGAAAGAACTTCTAACCGGATCTGTGGGGCAGCAGCACTTCCAGCCCCCGTGGTTGACCAGAACAACCCTCCCTCCCCACTGCCAGCGGAGCTCTAGGTGTGCGCCAGGTGTGGGGCACACAACTGAACACGAGCAGGTGTGGGCAGAGTACACCCTGAATCAGGACCAGGCACACGGAGAGCTCAGGAGGTGACCAAGATGGGCATCCGGGTCCCTGAGAAGGGGACAAAGGGCTGAAAACACAACCCTGGGACAAACGATGCCAGGCTATATACCAAGGGAGAAACACAAGAAAACACACACAGACTCACTAGGAAAAGCTAAAACAAAGCTGTGAGGTCACTTTAGAGGCCCGGTAGGATGTGGAGCTGGGAGGGCTGCTGGGGTTTCGTGGAGGACACCACCAGCCATGGCCTGTCTCGAACACCCACCGACATCTGTCTCCCGAGTGCCACGATTTCTAACTACTCATCTTCACACAGCCCCACGGATCCCGTCACTAGGCTCTCCTCCAAAAGCCCAGTTTCAACATCAAGAACACTCAAGTACCTGCTTTCTTTACTGAGAGGGGCCCCCGCGCACAGAGGCAGCACCGCTCCCCCACCGCAGGCCAGAAGCTCCCACTGCAAGCACCGGTGTTCCACGCCGCGCCCCCCCCCCCCCCCCGCCCCGAACATCACAGTGAGTCACAGGCCACCAACCGCTGCCCCAAGCCCTGACGCCGGCACGAAGGGAATGACCCTCCAGCAGTGCCCCGACAGTGCTCAGACATGAATCAAACAATGTCCCACTTGAGAGGCCGCTCTGCGATACTATCACAAGAAACTCTTTAACATCAAGAAGGCAAATTACTATTCTGGTCTCCAAAGGGTAGCGACTATTTTTAGCTCCAGGAGACCATTAAAACAGCTTAGTGACGCTTACTCTGGCTGAGAATGCAGAGCCATTAAATACTTTAATAGAAAGTAAACAACGCAATAAAATCCATTATACTTCCACGTTTATATCTGCATAAAAGTTTAAAAATAAACTTTCACATAAAAATAAATAAAATTCCATATAGTCAACCTTAAATAAACGCTCTCAACATTAAATATAGGTAAGGGAGCAACTTGTTTTTAATGGGTCTCTCATGTAAAATAAATAGCACATTCCAGAACAAGAAGGAATATAACCCAGAACCACACACAGGAAGCCAGTAACACAAGTCTCAGGATAACCGACGTTCAACTGGCACGTTCAGCTTTAACTTAACGCTGGAAATGGGGAAACAAATACGATAATTCCACCCAGCAAAATCCACAGACATGGGGCGCCTGGGTGGCTCAGTGGGTTAAAGCCGCTGCCTTCGGCTCAGGTCATGATCCCAGGGTCCTGGGATCAAGCCCCGCATTGGGCTCTCTGCTCTGCAGGAAGCCTGCTTCCCCCTCTGTCTCTGCCTGCCTCTCTGCCTACTTGTGATCTGTCTGTCAAATAAATAAATAAAATCTTTTATTTTTTTTTAAAGATTTTATTTATTTGACACAGAGAGAGATAGATCACAAAGATGCAGAAAAACAGGCAGAGAGAGGGGGAAGGAGGCTCCTCGAAGAGCAGAGTCCAATGCGGGACTCGATCCCAGGACCCTGAGATCATGACCTGAGCCGAAGGCAGAGGCTTAACCCACTGAGCCACCCAGGCGCCCCAATAAATAAAATCTTAAAAAAAAAAAAATCCAGACATTTTCACTCCTACTTGCACAAAGACTGAGACAGCGAAGGAGAGAGAGGGTGTGAGTGTGTAAATGTAGGAAGGGACGGGGTCGAGGCTCTGCCACTTGCCATCGACACGTGAAAACAGGGGCTAGAACCTTCCACCAAGAATTTGGCCCCCCATGCACCCAGAGGCTCAGAACCAGGGCAGGCCTGCGTCCATGCCACTAGAAATTCAGTCACAAAAATGTCACGGGAAAAACCACCCCGAACACCTACATCACCCCCCCAACCCCAGCCTCTGCTGAGTACGCCCAGGCAACACTCCTGGCCCTCCACCAGCATGGCCACGGTCCTCTCCTGCGGAAAGGGGCCAGGCACAGCAGCTAGCATACGGGCCGTTAGCATTACATGACACAGAAGATACACAGCAGCCAGTGCAGGGCTGGGAGTGTAGGAGACCCCCAGAGACGCCCACCGTAACCCAGCCTGAACCCCTCAGGACGCAGCTGGAAGAATGTCGTGAGGGGAGCGTGAACCGCGCCACTCGGCCGGGCTCAACCTGCAGAGCACTCAGGCCAAGACAAGCTCTGCCCAGGCTTCCTCCGGAGTGCCAGGTGGCCTAGAGATGCCACCGGGCCTTCGTCCGCAGGAACGGGAAGCCTGGCTGTGAGAGCAGCAAGGTAAGGTAAAGGCATTTCCCTTAAGACCCCGCCAAAGCCACCCTGGAAAAAGCCGGGACAAAGCCACTTCCCCACAAGCCACACTGCCGTGATCGAGGCTGTTCGTGGGCCTGAATGGGGCTGACGGCTTCCTCGCCGCTCACCCTGACGCTTCCGCCGCGCTGGTAAATGTGCGGGCTTAGCCCTACGGCCCCCGCAGGCAGCTCCTTGAGTCCCTGATGCTCTGGGCTAGAATTCCTCCCTTTCTCTTCGGAGGAGGACAGGCAGGGTGTGGTCTGGTGTCCGTGACTCACAGATCATCTGGCAGCACCACGACCTTACGGAGCCGTCAGGGCTGCGGCCGGGCTCCATGCGCCCGGCGCTCCTGACCCACAGCGGGAACGATGGGCAACACCGGGACAGGAGGCACACGTACCAGCTCCACGTCAGGCGGCACGTTCAGCCCCACAGGGGCAATGAAAGGCTCCTCGTTTTCCTCTATGTTTTCAGCCTCATTTTTTTCTGTATAAAAAGAAAATATAAAACTTCAGAACAATGACCAGGAAGGAAGGCGGCCACCAGCAGTAAGCAACAACAGAGGGACCAGAGCGAGTGGCGCTCCCCGGATCTTCACCTTCACATCATCACCTCTAGAGACACTCACCCGTCGCCTCTCCCGCCCCGGCACGTGCCCGTCGGGCATTACCAACCCCCTCTGGATGAGGCCGCTGGGGCACGGAGCTCTCCCAGAGACCCAGCTCCAGGCATCTCCCCACAACGCGCCCTGCTTAGCGGGCGCTCAGCCTGCGGTCAGTTCTCCCCGCTCCCAGCTCTGTGATCTGTGTGTGTGTTTAACTGGCACTAAGACCTCCTCTGAGTGGTTTCTGCGGGATCCCCAGGGAGACAGCACAGCACGGGTGCCCAACCTCCACATGGCAGGCTGATTTCACCATCGAGCTGTAAAGCCCTTAAGAGCAACGGGCAAGACTTCTCGACACACGCAAACCACCTCCCTACCATCAATAACCAGACGCCTCTTTCCCATTTCCATCTACAAACAGCTCTGTCCGCTGTGGGTCACACAGGACACTGCTTGTCAGAGCCTCCCGAATCAGAGGGGACCTGCATATCTCGCAATCTCTCAGGGGATCACCTACTGAAAGGACATAGTGAAATGTACAAAAGCCTAAGAGAAAACTTATCAAAGCTAACATTATAAAGGATTTCAAGACACACACAGGTTTTCCTGCCCAAAAAAACCCCCCAAAAATATTAAACACGAAATCTTCATCAAAATCAACGCTTCCGGGGTGCGTGGGTGGCTCAGTTGGTTAAGCAACTGCCTTCAGCTCAGATCATGGTCCCGGAGTCCCGGGATCAAGTCTCGCATCAGGGTCCCAGCTCCATGGGGAGTCTGCTTCTCCCTCTGACCTTTTCTCGCCTCTCATGCTCTCTCTCACTGTGTCTCTCTCTCAAATAAATAAATAAATAATCTTTAAAAAACAAAAACAAAAACAAAAACAAAACACAATGTTTCCACCACATGTGGTTTCTTGATGAACAATTTTGAAGGTTTTCTATCACATCTAATTCTTCTACGAAGCCAAGGAGGGCTTATAAGCAGGTTTCACTGTACCTAAAAACCTGGGAATTCTAGTCGGATGAGATACGGGCAGATGAACACCGTCCATCCTGTCTGTTTCTGCTTAGGCAGCCTTCTTCTCCCCTAACAACCAGAGACACACTCAGACCTGATCGCTTCACGCGATCAGCAGCCCCGCAGCCCGGCAGCAGGGCCCAAATGGCCCGGTGTGGCTGCAGGACACCGGACACCCTGATTTGCAACGCGTCAAGGAGCAACTCCAAATCTCACAGTCTCCCTGAGCCTGGGGCTGCTGCTCCCGAGTAGCGGAGCCCGAAGCAAGAGCTGTGTGGGACACGAGGTTACACGGGGCTGCTCTGTCCTTACACACACCTTAATTTACAGAAAAATGGCTTTAGTAGCACAGAACAGAACATAGCCATTGCAACACTCAGATTCAACTAAATTCAAATCCCCTTTTTTCACAAAAGAGATCTTCGATAATGATAGGAAAAAAACAGGCAAAGGAGAATCTGCCATGCGGGAGGAAGAGGGGATGGTGCACAGACACAAAGCTGGCCGCCGCTGGCTGGCAGCATAAAGCTTCAACTGTCCCCAGAATGCCAAGACGGCAGAGTAACTTTGAAAATCAAGGAATATTTAGACCTGCTGATGGCACCGAAAAACCCAAAAACCAAAACCAAAACCAAAACCAACTATATATTTATATTTTTTAATAATGCAGCACTGAAGTAGAACTTCCTTATCAGTGGTACTGGGCACCAACCTGAATTCTACTGTGTGCAGGTACGTGTGGTGTTTTCCTGCATTAGCATAAGCGAAGCACAAAAGGCCGAGAGGTGAGTTTCACATGGGCCCGACTCTCACTGGAAAAACTGATCAGCAGGGCGCCTGGGTGGCTCTGTCCGCTGAGCGCTGGCTCTTCATTTTGGCTTAGGCCAGATCTCGGCTCCTGGGATCTGGCCCCACGTTGGGCTCTGCACTCGGCGGAGTCTGCTCCAGATTCTCCTTCTCCCTGTGCCCCCCACCCACCCCGCCCTGCTCAGGCACATGCTCTGTAGTGCTCTCTCTCAAATAAATCTATCTTCAAAAAAATTTAATCAGCATATAAGGCAAAGTCCTGAGGACGACTACAGAAAAGAAAACAAATTATAAAATACTAAAGAGAACTTTATGTTTAAGAGAAAGCATACTGTAACTTCGAGGGCAAACTAAATCACACTGAAATTCTTAAATTTCAGTAACTATAGAGAAGTTTAATTATACCGAGACAATATCCGACACGTGTAATAGGGGTTGGCAACTTTCGGGACAATGCCAGATGGTAAGCTCACTTCCGGCCACACGTGCCCTGTGGGCCAGCTACTCGACTCTGCGGTTGAGACACAGAGGCTGCCCAGACGCTGCGTGCACAAACCAGTGTGGCTGTGACTCCATGACACTTCTCTGACAAAACCTGCTGGCTGGGGTGATGGTGGCAGTGTGCACAGCTCTAATAGAGAACGTTAAGAAATTAGTATTATGGATTTTTCCAAAGATTGTTACTTGACCTTGCAAATGACATTTGGCTTTTATAAATTTCCATTCTTCAGGTACAAAGTTATATAGCACGTATTCCTTCCTTCTGATCAAAACCACTATGTGTTTAAAGCATACGTAATGCACACGATTCGGGAACAAAACAACAGAATCTACTATCCGGAACTCTAGCAGAGGTACGTGTGGACAGAGGAGCGAGCGCTTACTTCCGGACCTGTAAGAACATTCCCACTGCGTCCTCACTTCTGAAGGTGTGAAATGCCTTAACGAGGCTTTAACTGATCACAGTCCCAAAGACAGCTGGAAAGTCTTATCACAAGCTCCTAGGACACAGCCACACAGCCATGACCGCTGCCCACGACACAGAGAACAGGATGAGGGGAAGGGCAACAAGGAAGCACCTGTGCAAGACCGCCCTCCGGCCTGTCCAGTGAGGGCCGCAGGAGCCCCCAGGTGGCCGCACCAGGCTGGGCAGACCACGGTGCATCACGGAGCGGTCGTAACCACTTTAGACCTGTGAGGAGGTTTGCAACTGAAGGAGAAACCAATTAAGTCCCAAATAACCAAGTGTTAGCCCTAAAACCAACGCCCTGGTTGATATGATTCTAGTTCATTATTTTAAACATTCAAATAAAGTTAAACATTCGAAAAGTTAAAGTTCTCCTTCCCTTTAACGTTTTTATGTGTTTATTTTAAGCTCCACACCCAACGTGGAGCTAGAACTCTTGGCCCTGAGATCAAGAGTCACGTGCTCTATGGACAGATCCAGCCAGTGCCCCACACAGTTCTTCTTCCCCTTAAACAGAGTGTCCTGCACACAGTGACTCAGCCTTACGGTTTTCGGCTCACGTTGTCATTATCGATGTTAGCGTCTGATCGTTGCACAAGGCTGTGACAATGGTGCTCTCAGAGTCTACCAAAGTGGCAGGGTATCTGTTCCTGCGCTCACAGTCCAGCTACTTCGGGGCACTCTTTTTTTATATCCAAAGTTCCTAGAGTTAAAGCAGCAGAGTAGGATTTTAAAGTGTCCCATTTCACATCACTATGACTGTGCACCACCACACGGGCGCGCACGCTGCGGGTCCTACTGAGTCCAACTGGGGGGGGCAGGGGAAGGGTCCTCCGGCTCTTCCCTGCTGAGGAGCAAGGAACTCCTCAGCCAGCCTTCTGCTGAGCCCCGCTGTGACTTCAGGTGTGGAGGGCACAGGGAACGGGGTTCACTCGAGGGCAGTCAACGCCTACTCTACTCTCTCAACACCCCGAGGGCAAATCACGGGGTCTCATGAGTTAAGGAACAAAGACTCCAGAGTAAGTCATTTCCAGTTACCGGAGTCCAAGCGAAATCTGCGAAAGGCAATGAGGTCTAATGCAGACCCGAGTCTGCAATCAGTTTCCACCTCCAAGAACACTTAATTTTCTGGCTTCTAGCTCTGTTCTACCCTGAGAAGGAGTCCGCTAATGGTGCCTGCGTCGCTGTGAGGTGACAAGTACTCAGCAGCCGCACCCGTACCTTGAAGACTTTCCCACTGCGTATGCCATAGCCGCCAATGCTATGTCACCCGGCGCAGTGTTCTCCCCTCACCTCTCTGTTTAGAAGGTTCCTCCTCTTCTGTGGGCTCTGACGGGTCATAGTAGTCACTACCGTAGGTGAAGCCCACTGCGTTATAGCTCCCATCCTCTGCCAGGGCTTCACTCAATCGCTTGTATTCTTCCTCTTGAATAAAAATGAGAATTTTATTAACAAAAATAGAAACTTACTGAGAAAAATTTTATATATTTCTAAAGTTGTGGCTATCAGTAAAGCATACAACACACTTTTTTCAGCCTCTTTTGGAGGCAAAAACGTTTTTACAAATTCACACCTCAAATCTATTAATATGTACTTTTGCCAGTACACGTTTACCACAGATAGCAGAATACACGTCTTTTGTGGAAAATTTCTTCCTGCTGAGAAATTTGGGGATTAAGAACTGTATTAAAGATTGTTAAGGCAAAGACAAGAACATCAATTTTAGTTTATACGATACTGTTAAAGAAGAACAGTTAAAGAGTTTGGTTTTTGTTTTTTCAAATCCCAGTCTGCCCTCAAAAGCTGGGAAAATTCTTTGTGGCTCTCTATATATAAACTATCCTGAGGTCCTCTCAGAACGCAAAGACTCCTGTTTTTCCAATCCACTGGGTACTGTCAAGATAATATCAGAAAGAGTGAGTATAAAAAAATGAATGGGAGTAAATTTTAAATACTTAAAAAATTTTAAAAAGTTTGTTGCTTAAGTAAGTTTTTCTTGAGCAGTACCTTGCCTTGCCTCCTCCTCAAGCAAGTCCGTATGCAAGGCTAAATACCTCTCCTCATCACACAGGGCATCTATTCGTGCCTCCTCTTCAGAGAGCTGGTAATCGCGGTTCCACGTGGAATACTCAGCATCGTACTCAGAAAGGTCATGCAGGTGACCGCGCCCATCATATCTGTAATATGAACACGCTGGTCACTGGGAAGAAGTTAACGTCTAGGTTGGTTCGTGTGGGCTGTTTCACATATATACTTACCGATTAAAACAAATAAAAATATTAAAACAAACATAAAAAAATCTTCTCTGATTTATATTTAATTTGGCTAGTCACATCTCACCTACTTTTAAAACTCAAGTTATCTTAACAAAGTCTAAATTCCTTTGTATAATATGATAAGGCTTATAATTAAAGGTAAACAATCCTTTAACAGCATAAATGGTGCCCACTTCACTGGCAGTGCTTACCGTTTATGGTTTGGTCAACCATTCAATGCCATTTGCAAAAAAATAAAAACTAGAAATTTTTTTTTTCTGAGAAGTCAAATATCATAGCTTACATTCACACAAACCGAATACATAAATACCTATCCGTAAGAACCCAACGGTCGAAATTTCCTCGCTTCTTTCTGCTAGTCCCGAACTCTCAGGAGAGATCTTCACCAAAGAAACTTGCGTCCATTGGAGGTAAAATCTTGGCTAGGCTCGCCCCCTAGCCACTTGGCTGAGGAAATAAGTGCTGGGTTACGTGATAGAGAGACACACATACATAGGAACAGTGACATATACGTGCAGTTTAAGGAGGTTCACTGGAAACAGAGCAAAACTATTAGCAGGTGCAGTATAAATATCTTCTTCTAAACTTTACACCCCCAGGGAATCACAGACGTTAAGACGCATCCATGTTTATGTGCATGGACCAACAGGCACTGTAGCCAAATTAGGAATAAGAAGGGCACTTTTTGTTACGCTTTTAACATAAAGATTCAGGGAAGCTGCTGTTGATGTGCAGAATCAGATAATAAACGAGTGAGTTAGAAACACTCAGATTTAGGCTTGCAAAAACAAACAGAGACAAACAAAAGTCTGCCTGATTTTTTAATGCTGACTTTTGTAATGCGGACCAAAAAGTATAAAAAAAAAAAAAGACATTTACAAGAAAAAAGGCCAAAATTCCAGAGTAGCCAAGTTATTGCACTTTATTAAATTTCAAAATTACTTTTACTTTGCTGTAAACCTCCTTAACTTACAAATGTAGATCATTATTTGAAAATATTATACATGTACATGTGTAGCGTTTGCTCCCCATTAGTTTTGGAAGACCTCACTCCAATCATGTACAGAATGATACCGAAAACTGCGTAAGTAGCTCAGACTTGTTGCTTACCAAGCTTTAATAATAAATATCACAAGTAACACTTTGTAACACTTTGGAAAAGCAAGCTGCCTGACAACTCAGGCAACACTGATCACAGAAACTAAGGTTTAAAGGCACAGCATGTTTGAGCAGAGTATGGAGCATCAGGTCCAGACCTGCTCCGGCAACCCTCCCTTCCAGAGTCATTGTTGTCTAGATCTAACTCCAAACGGCAATGTCAGGGATGGAAAAAGGCCTATTTGGTCATGAATGTGTCCATTCTGGCCAGCTCACAGGTTATCCCTACAGTCATGTCCCAGGGCTTTGCAGAATCCAGCTTTAATCAAACGACGGGCTTCCTTCACTCGGAGACACTATTCCACAGTTAAATGGCTGGTCATCGTTAGCTTTTCAGTCCGGGCCCCAGACGTAGAGTTGCCAAACCGGCAAAAAACCAAACCAACAAGCCAAAACTCCAAGGAGGAGAAGGAAAGTGGGACTGAAAATATGGGGGGGCGGGGGGGGGGGCGGGGAGCAAACAACCTACACCATGTAATGCCATCCTTTTCAAACCAAACATCTTTAGAAATCCCCAGTCCCGGGACCCCTCTGCCCAAAGTGGCTAAACATCCTCCAGGGCGATTACCTAAAGCAGGTTTGATTTGAAAAGAAACACATCTGCGTCCCAGTTCCACCCCTCGGTTTTAAGAGACCGTGAAACCAGCCCTAAGAACACTATCTCTAACAGCAAAGCCAGTGTCTGCCCCAAGTCAATCGGCTTCCAACTGACTGGCACCTTCACCCTCGGTCTGAACCAAGTCAGCTTCGCCAGATTGTCCCAGTGGGGAGGAGGGGGCTGGCGGAATCAAATGTCATGCCGGCAAAATGCCGGCGCTCCACAAGGAGGGCGCAGGCGGCACACGAGCTTCAAGGCTAACTCTCGGGATCCAAAAGGTTTTCTAACAGCGCGGCCTCCGCGTGCGCATTTCGGGGTTGCCCTGTCACCACACGGAGCTGTGGGAGCGCCTCGAGTAGGGAGGCAGCGCACTACCCCCACGAGAACGCCGATCGGGAGAGGCCAGTGCACGGGCCGCTTCCACCGCGCGGAGTGGCCAACCGGAACCAGCGACTGGGGTGAGGGGTCGCGAGGGGCTGCAGGAGCAGAGACGATCCCTCCGGCGACACACGCGGCGCGCAACTCCAGCCAGTGTCTTAGGGCAGGTTTCACCGTCCCCCTCCCTCCAAAACCTGGGGGTTGTAAGGACAGAGGAGGGGGTCCCCCAGATCCCCGCTGGCTCCACAAAACCCCTTTTTAGTCCTGGCCATCAAGTCAACATCAGACGAAATCAAGCGGGCGAGGGAAGGGGAGGACCGGCGGGTGGGGGGAGGAACCGACCTGTCGATGAGGATCTTGTGGTCCCCCATCCAGGGGATGAGGTGCTGTCCCTGCTCCTGGGCCAGCGCCCGCTCGTCATCCCGGAACAGTTTGCAGGCATAGCCGAAGACCAGCAGCTCCACTCGGTTCCCCCCACCGCCGGCACCGCCGGGTCCGGCCTCCTCCTTCGCGCCGCTTTTCCTCTCGGCTTTGGCACGGCCTCCGCTCGCGCCGTACATGACAGCGTCCCCGGCGTCCAGGCTGGTCCTCTTCTGCGCCGCGCGGATGTCCCCAATGCCTCCGCCTGGCCTACCCCCTCAGTCAAAAGCGCCGCATCCCGGCCCCAAACTCGACACCGCCGCCATAGCGGGCAACAAAATGGAGGAAGCGCAACTTCCGGCGAGGGGCTGCCCTACTTCCGGCGAGCGGATTCCGCAGATTCGCTACTCCTTGGAGCCGTTCGAGGCGCCAGAAAGTGTTTTGGTTCTAGCCTTTTGCATTCGGAGGCGTCGCCACGGTAGGAGCTGATGTGATCAAAGGATAGCGCATGTGTGGTGTTCGTTTACTCAGACCGTAGTCCAGAGCAGTGGCGAAAGCGCGGCGCCGGATTACGCGCTACCTTCATCGGGCCTGCTGGGCGCTGGGCGGAAGGAGGGCGGGGGCTGCGCAGGCAGAGTGCGCGGCTCTCTGGGGCGGCCCCTCCCTGCGCCGGGGCGAGGTCTCCTGGTACCCGTTGCTGGGTCGTGGGTTCGGGCCGAGGGCTGGGGTTCAGGGGCTGGGCCCTGGGGGACCGGGAGATTCTGGGGCTGGGGATCTCTTGGGCTGGAGGGCTGGGGGCCCAGGGGCCGAGGGGCAGGAAACTCGGGGAGCGCTGGGTCTGGGGGGCCGTGGAGCTCTGAAGGTAGAGGCTGGGGCCTGGGGGAGCCGGGGGAACTCTGAGGCTAGAAGCTGCGGGGGAGCGGGGAGCCCTGAGGCCAAGGGCATGGGGGCCAGGGGGCTCCGGGGGTTGGGGGTCGGGGGGCCGGGGAGCTCTGAGGTTGGGGGCCAGGGGGCTGGGTAGCTCCGAGACTGGGGGTTGGGTGGTCGGGGAGCTCTGAGCCTGGGGGCTGGAGTTCAGGGGACGGGGAGCTCTGAGGCTAGAGGCTGGGGGCTGGCAGGGGAGCTTTAAGGCTGGGGGTTCGAAGGCCGGGGAGCTCTGAGGCTAGGAGCTGGGGGACCAGGGAGCTCTGAGGCTGGGGGCCAGGAGCTGGATAGCTCCGAGCCTGGGGGCTGGGGGCTGGGGTCGGGGGACTGGGAAGCTCTGAGGCTGGAGGGCCAGGGAGCTCTGAGGCTGGGGGCTGGGGAGACCCGGGGTTGGGGGCCAGGCCCTGCCCTGTCCAAGGCAGTCACTCCAGGTTTCTGAGGCCCTGGTAACTTCTGAGGTCCTGGGGATCGGGACCTTCATCCCGTCCATCTGGGAATATTTCCGTAGCAGAAACCAAAGGGCTTAGCAAGCCGTGAAGGCTCTCCCGGTAACCCGGCTTCAGGGTGTGGGGACTCGTGGGAAAAATGTAGTCGAGATTGGTACAGAGGGCCTGGTTCTGGGAGACCAGCCACCTGGATGTGGAGTGACTGCTACTCCTCCTTGGCCTCGGTTTTCCCACCTGTGTATTCTGAAGGAGAGTGGCACCTTCCAGTCCAGCCTAGACCTTCAGGGCAGACTGCCCAGCGGCTGGAGTGCAGAAGCACTTCTTGGGGCCCCGAGCACTCTCCAAGCTGCGCCTCAACTGGCAGTGAAGTAGATGTTCTTTCCGCCAGCCCACATCTCTTGTCTGTGAAATACAGCTCTTTTCGCTAATAAGGTTGAGATAAGGTAATGCATATAAACGGTAATAGGGTTTTAAAAATTAAGCCACGAGCAGTTTCTACCTCAGGGCCTTTGCTCTTGTGATTTCTTTGGCTGTGTCACTCTTCTGGCTTTTTCTGGGCCAGGCTTCCCATCCAGGTCCCAACTCTGTCCCCTTTTCAGCCTGGCTGTAGGTGTGCACACTAAGTAGAATTTCCCGCACTGGTCCTCCCTTCTTGGGGTTGATCTGCCCTTGGAGCACCAACCACTGTCTCACATTACATCCTACATATAGCTCCCCTCAGTATTTGCTCCAGGAGAGCAGGAGTCTTGTGGGTTCTGCTGAGCATCCCAGTTCCTGGGCTAGGGCCTGGCACACAGTTGGCCAAGCATGGATTTCTCTCTGTAGAATGAACATGACAGAGCCATGGTCCTGTCTGGCTCCACAAGGCTGCCTTGCTACCACTGAGGGAGCATACCGTAGCTTTCTCAGTTGCTCGGTAAGTCCCACTGGATGCTCTAGGCACCTGCAGGTCTGGTGGGATGCTGCCTCTGCTTCGAGCTTTTCCTGGAGTTCAGGGAGCTGGGTGAGGCCCAACGCTCCCAGCCAAATTCCACCGGTCCTTTGACCTGTAGGGATTCTGGGAGCCTTCAGACCCTGTGCAGATGGCCTTTTCAGCCTGGCATGGGATTTTGAAGACCTGGGTTGCACTCCTAATCCTGATTTCAGTTCCACTGGAATTTTGAGTTCCGTTCTTTCTGAACCTCTCTTCTCTGTAAAGAGGGGACAGGACAGGACTCTGTCCTTCGGAAAGCTGCTGGAGGTCATAGCACTGATAGCCGAGGATGTCCATTCTGCCCCAAGTGTGTTTGCAGACAAAAGCGCTGAAGCATGTGTGTGTTGGGGGACGTGGGAGGTTAGCTGTTGAACCGGTTCGGTGGTGTTTGAACTATGGGCTGCAGTCTGTTGCTGCCTATGGAATCCATTCAGAGGCTCGTAACCAGCATGAAAACAACGAAGAAAAAGTCCCTATGTTGGTTCTCTGCATTTCCAAGTGAATCTTAGAATTAGCTTGCCCACTTCTTCCCAGAAGCCTCCACATGTTGCTGCTGAGATTGCCCGGGGAGGGCTGACACCTTGGATGTTTGCTCCTCAATCTACTAGGCGTGCATCTGTTGAAAATTCCGTCAGTGTTTACTCACAAACTCGTGATGCCTTTTAAGTCCCACTTGCAAATAGCTTGTCGCAGAGAAGACGGTCTTAAAACACTGAGTGTGTGTGTGGCTGCCTCGTCCAGCTCTATTATTTCTCGTTCTTTATCTGTAGCTTGGTTTGGATTCCTGACCTGGACAATCATATGGTCTGTGACTGATGCCCACTTTGCTTCTTCCCGGTCCCACCCTCTCTTTGCCGTCCAGTCATTCCTCCATTCTCTCTGTCCCCTCCTCGTAGCATGAGCGCCTCTGCTCTGACGGAGGACACGTGGACGTCGTGCACATGCTCATTTGTTCCTGATCTCAGTGTGAAGGTTTTACCAGCTCCACTGTTGAGTGTGGCTCAGGGTGGGGGTTCTTGGAGACCACCCTTTATCAGAACATTCCCTTGTATTCCGAGTTCATTAGGTTGCGTGTATGTGTATTTTAATGAAAGATGGTAGAATTTTATCAAATGCCCTTTTTGCAGTGAGATGATTATTTGATTTTTCTCTTTTAATCTAATAAGTGAATTACACTGATTTTCTCTCTTTTTTAAAAAAAGATTTTATTTACTTATTTATTTGACAGACAGAGATCACAAGTAGGCAGAGAGGCAGGCAGAGAGAGGAGGAAGCAAGCTCCCTACAGAGCAGAGAGCCCAATGTAGGGCCCCATCCCAGGACCCAGAGACCATGACCTGAGCCGAAGGCAGAGGCCCAACCCACTGAACCACCCAGGAGCCCTGCATTGATTTTCTAATGTTAAAGTAACCCTGAGTTTTTCAGATCATCTCAACTTGGTCATGATATTTTATTCTATATATATACATTGCTGGGTTTGATTTGCCAATGTTTTGTTTAGGACTTTTTGTTGTTGAGAGGGGAGAAGACTTACAGTTGACAGAAGTGCAGAATATGTAAGGAGCTTGTATGAATCAGTAAGAAAATTAATTAAAAAATGGGTGAGGACACCTGGGTGGCTCAGTCTGTTAAGCATCCGAGTCTTTGTTTCAGCTCAGGTCATGATTTCAGGGCCGTGAGATTGAGCCCTGCACTGGGCTCCACGCTCGGCGGGGCATCTCCTCGAGATGCCCTCTCTCCCTCTGCCTCCTGCGCACTGGTGCGTGCAGTGTTTCTCTAAATAATAATAATAATAATAATGGTGAAAGATTAACAGAGGCTTTTTTAAAAAGGACACGTAAATGACAATAAACACATGGAAAGGAGCTTAATCTCTGTCAGGGAAATGCAAATGGAATACCGTTTGGACCCCAGAAATGTAAGCCCCAACGTGAGTAAGAGGGGTATGGACGGACAGCAACACGCACCTTCATCAGCCCCTCGCGGGTGTAAGTGGGTAAAACCTCTGTTTGGTTTATTCAATTTTTATTCTGTTTATTTGTTTCCTTAGTTTGTTTATTGCTACAGCCACAGCAGGAGACCTGGAGACAGATGTTTCTGGTGCCGTTCGTTGAGTGGCCACACACTGGGAAGAGCCCGTGTCCGTCCGGAGTAGAAGGGATGAGTAAATTGCGGGGTGTGGAGATACGTGATGGGATATAACGCAGGGAGACGGGCCGCCATGGTCGGCAAGAGCGTTGATGGGCCCTGCAAACGATTTTGAGCAAAGGAGGCAAGATAGAAAAGTGCAGACAGTGTTGGAGTACACGCACGATTCCACGCATAAAAGGCAAACAGGCGGAATCCCCCTGTAGTGTTTAGGGGCGCATATGTGGCTGGTGAGGTTAAAAAGAAGCAAAGTGGTGTTACAGGTGTTACAGCGGGGGAGGGGGAGGCAGACAGTCACCCTAGGATGCTTGGTCACCCTGGGATGCCGTTTGCGTTGCCGAGCTGGGGGGTCACTGTGTGGGTGATCAAAACTGTCAAGTGCCGTTTTCTCTAATGCCTTTAAAAAGGAAAAAGGACATCCCAGCTGTAAGTTGTTACTACTTTCTATATTTTAATCTCAGCTGCACCCACGCACACACGACCGTACTTCTTAGGGGGCTTGCTGTAAACATTTGGAAGCTGCTTGTGCTCTCTGGAAGGCGCCTTCCTGTTCTGTGATGGGGCGTTGTCACCAGCTTACGTGAGCTTCGTTCCCACAGGGGAGTGCGTGTCCGGGGACGCAGCCGGCGTCTCACGGGGAGGGTGGGTTTTGGGCAGGACGGCAGCCCCTTCCCTCCCTGCAGAGGTTCCTCATCTGTGGGACTAAGAACCTAGCGGGGCGGGGTCCCCCCTGCATGCTAACTAGTCATGGCTGGTCTGGGGGAGGCAGAGGGAATGCCTGTCCTAGGATCACCTACGGTGACAGGCAGAGGCCGGAAGTCAACAGTCACAGGAAATGGGTCCATATGTCTAGATTTTCTTGACA